ATTATTATTACATTATTATTATTATTGTTATTATTATTATTATTATTATTATGGCATCAACCAATCCCTATGGCTGTCATAGATTTAGTTAATCTATGTCTACTGTATTGTTGTTGTTGTCATTATTATTATTATTATTATTATTATTATTATTATTATTATGGCATTTACCAATTCCAATGGGTGTCATAGGTTAAATGAGAGTCTATGATTATGATTATGATTATTATATTATTATTATTATTATTATCTGCTTTTATCTCTTAATTGTGAAGCAAAGCAGCTCAAAACATTATTATTATTATTATCATCATCATTATTTTCTTATTCTATCTCTTAATTGTGAAACAAAGCAGCTCAAAACATTATTATCATCATCATCATCATTATTATTATTTTCTTCTTCTATCTCTTAATTGTGAAGTAAAGCAGCTCAAAACATTATTATTATTATCATCATCATCATCATTATTATTTTCTTATTCTATCTTAATTGTGAAGCAAAGCAGCTCAAAACATTATTATTATAATTATTATATTCATTTACATGTCATTATTACTTTATTATTTTCTGCTTTTATCTCTTGATTGTGAAGCAAAGCAGCTCACAATAATAACATCAATAATGATATATTAATTTATATGCCACTTTTCTATTGTTATTATTATATTCATTTGCATGTCATTTATTATTTTCTGCTTTTATCTCTTGATTGTGAAGCAAAGCAGTTCACAATATAACAACAAAAATAATATATTAATTTATATGCCACTTTTCTATTGTTATTATTATTATATTCATTTACATTATTACTTTATTATTTTCTGCTTTTATCTCTTGATTGTGAAGCAAAGCAGCCCACAACATAATAATAACAATAATAATATATTAATTAATATGCCACTTTTCTATTATTATTATTATTATTATATTCATTTATATGTCATTATTACTTTATTATGTTCTGCTTCTATCTCTTGATTTTGAAGCAAAGCTGCTCTAAACATTATTATTATTATTATTATCATTATTATTATTTTCTTTTATCTCTTGATTGTGAAGCAAAGCAGCTCACAATAATAACATCAATAATAATATATTAATTTATATGCCACTTTTCTATTATTATTATTGTTATATTCATTTACATGTCATTATTTTATTATTTTTGCTTCTATCTCTTGATTGTGAAGCAAAGCAGCTCAAAACATTATTATTATTGTTATCATCATCATTATTATTTTCTTCTATCTCTTAATTGTGAAGCAAAGCATCTAAAAATATTATTATTGTTATTATCATCATCATCATTATTTTCTTACATTTTTCTAATGTAAGGCAACTCACATTATTATTAGTAATATATTCATTGATTCGCCACTTTTCTCTCTTAATTGTGAAGCAAAGTGACTCATAACATCGTCACCATCGCACTTTGATCTCTTGATTGTGAACTAAGGCAGTTCACATTATTATTATTATTATTAATACAATTTATTAGTTTATTTATTATTTTTAGTATATTTTATTTTATTTTTATTATTTTATTATTTATTTTTATTATTTACTTTTATTATTTATTTTTATTATTTATTTATTACTATATTCATTGATATGCCACTTTTCTCTCTTAATTGAAATAACGTGGCTCATAACATCGTCACCATCACACTTTGATCTCTCGATTGTGAAGCAAAGCAGCTCACATTATTATTATTAATATATATATTCATTGATATGCCACTTTTCTCTTTAATTGTGAAGCAAAGTGGCTCATAACATCGTCACCATCGCACTTTGATCTCTTGATTGTGAAGTAAGGCAACTCACAACTATTATTATTATTATTATTATTATTATTATTATTATTGTATCGACCAATTCTTTTACACTCGACACCCCTGCTTTCATCTTCTAATTTAATCCCATTATATACCAAACTTATTATTTAACCTAAGTTGTAAACGATTACAAGGGTTTCAGGATAGCGGTCAATGTCTACTCGTCTGTGTATTTTTTGTCTTTGTCGATCTACCGTCGGTGGACTGATTTGTAAACAGACCACTGCAATACACCATTTGAAAACCTAAAGGTGCCCGCCAATCAAAACCAAATGCCATCTCGTTTGCAGGGCTACCTCCCTCCCACCAAGAACGGGGCGGAGCCCAAGCGCCCTAGCCGGCCCATCAACATCACCCCGCAGGTCCGGCTTTCGGCCACCGTGCCCAATACCATCGTGGTCAACTGGTCCTCCGAATTCGGCAGGGTAAGCTGTGTACAAATTGTCAGGATTAATTTAGACCAGCTGCCCCCTGCCACGCCTTGCTGTGGCCCAGTCTGTTGATCTGGAAAATAAAATAATGAGAAAGTGTTGGTTTCTAATATATATAATTTCTTTCTGCTTGTGGGTAAACAATATTTCTTGCTGTTTCTTTGTCAGTGTTGATGTGGAGATTGTCTGGTTTGCTTACTCTGGAACATGTGACATATAATTCTCCTTCTTTAGGGGCCCCTTTCAAATCTATGATACTATATCTGTGTGTATGTGAATAATATCTATCTATCTATCTATATCTATGGCTGGATGGCTCTTTGTCGGGAGGGCTTTGATTATGTTTTCTTGCCCTCGTGAAGGGAGTTGGATTGGATGGCCTTAAGTATTTTCTGTTGGTCATGGGGGTTCTGTGTGGGAAGTTTGCCCCAATTCTGTCGTTGGTGGGGTTCACAATGCTCTTTGATTGTAGGTGAATTTTGAATCCCAGTGACTACAACTCCTAAATGTCAAGGTCTATTTCCCCCAAACTCCATCTGTGTTCATATTAGGGCGTGTTGAGTGTTCGTTCCAAGTTTGATCCAGATCCGTCATTGTTTGTGTCCACAGTGCTCTCTGGACGTAGGTGAACTACAACTCCCAAACTCAAGGACTATACCCACCAAACCCTTCCAGTATTTTCTGTTGGCCATGGGAGTTCTGTGTGCCAAGTTTGGTTCAATTCCATCGTTGATGGAGTTCAGAATGCTCTTTGATTGTAGGTGAACTATAAATCCCAGCAACTACAACTCCCAAATGACAAAATCATAATTTTTTGAGTGATGGTCACTCCTTGTGTTGTGAGACGTTTTGTTGCCAAATTTGGTGTGATTCCGTTCATGGGTTCTTTTGTTTTTAAGGTACTCATGACGCACGGAACATTTTTATATATATAGATGTATGTGTGTTTGCAAATGTGTTTCTATGTAATTTCAAGATGGAGTCTCCTGTGTGTTAGAAATTGCTGTGCAGAATGTCCATGAGGCTGTGATTAAGTAACCTTGAGAGAAATGAGATAATGTCTGCTCTAGCTGGGAACAGAAGGGAGTCACCCGTCTCAGCCAGAGAGAGATAAGCAGGTGTGCAGAGAGACTTTCGGTTTTCCACTAGTTCCTATTTGTAGCTCGCTGTGTTAAGATGTGTGTTTGATGTACTTAGTAAAACTTAGTTTCTTTTGCAACTGTAAGCCTGCAGAGTCCTTATTTCGCATCACAAAGTGTCTGTTGATCTAGCAATCCTTCTGCTGCGCACCCCCAAACTCGGACACAAATTGGGAATATAATTATACTAATTATCTGGCTCTGAAGATGTAAACAACCTCCTTTTGCTTCTCTCCAGAATTACTCCATCTCGGTTTACTTGGTGAAGCAGCTGACGTCGGTGACGCTGCTGCAGAAGCTGCGGGCCAAAGGCATCCGGAACCCAGACCACTCGCGAGCCCTGAGTACGTATTAGTATTATTATTATTATTGCTAATAATATGGCTAATCTTATGGTTCCTTTTTCCCTTTCCATGGAAAGGGAAAATATTATTATTATTATTATTATTATTATTATTATTATTATTATTATGCGGTCTTATGGTTCCTGTTTTGTCTGGGTTATTGATTTTCATGTTATTCTTGTTGTTATTTTTATTATCATTATGTGGTCTTATAGTTCTTTTCTGCCCGCCAATGAAGCAGGCCCCTATTTGTTGTTGTTGTTGTTGTTGTTATAGAGGTCTATTATTATTATTGTTGAGACTAGATGGCCTTTGGGGCTCCCTTCCAACTCATTACCATTATTATTGCTATTTACTACTATGGCTAATCATTATTATTATTATTATTATTATTATTTATTAGTTTTGCATGGAATAGGGGTGAGACTGAATGACCTTATTATTATGGGGCCCTACAGTTCTGCTGTGCCTACCAATGGAGAGGGCCTCTATTTTGTTGTTGTTCTTGTTGTTGTTATAGAGGTCTATTAATAATAATAATAATAATAATAATAATAATAATAATAATAATAATGAGACTAGATGACCTTTGGGGCTCCCTTCCAACACATTACCATTATTATTGCTATTTACTACTATGGCTAATCATTATTATTATTATTATTTATTAGTTTTGCATGGAATAGGGGTGAGACTAAATGACCTTATTATTATGGGGCCCTACGGTTCTGCTGTACCTACCAATGGAGAGGGCCTCTATTTTTTGTTGTTGTTGTTGTTATAGAGGTCTATTATTATTATTATTATTATTATTGTTATTATTATTATTATTATTATTATTATTATTTTTGGGCCCTATAGTTCTTTTGTGCCTACCAATGGAGAGGGCCACTATTTTTTATGTTGTTGTTGTTGTTATAGAGGTCTATTAGTATTATTATTATTATTATTGACCTTTGGGGCTCCCTTCCAACTCATTACCATTATTATTGCTATTTACTGCTATGGCGAATTATTATTATTATTATTATTATTATTATTATTATTATTATTATTAGTTTTGCATGGAATAGGGGTGAGACTAAATGACCTTATTATTACGGGGCCCTACAGTTCTGCTGTGCCTACCAATGGACAGGGCCTCTATTATGTAGTAGTAGTAGTTGTTGTTGTTGTTGTTATAGAGGAGGAGGATGATGGTGATGATGATGATGATGATGATTATGGGGCCCTATGGTTCTTTTTTTGCCTACCAATGGAGAGGGCCTATATTTGTTGTTGTTGTTGTTGTTGTTGTTGTTGTTTATAGAGGATGATGATGATGATTATTATTATTATTATTATGATTATGGGGCCCTATGGTTCTTTTTTTGCCTACCAATGGAGAGGGCCTCTATTTGTTGTTGTTGTTGTTGCTATAGAGGTCTATTGTTATTATTGTTATTATTATTATTATTATTATTATTATTATTATTATTATTATTATGGGATCCTATGGTTCTGCCGTGGTTGTTAATATAATAATATTCCCCTTTCAGTCAAAGAGAAACTGACGGCCGATCCGGACAGTGAGATCGCGACCACCAGCTTGCGGGTGTCCCTCATGTGCCCGGTGAGTCTAGTTTCCCGTCCGTGGGTCAGTAAGTGGCCCCATCTCGGGGGGTCCTGACCACCGCCTTTCCTCCTCCTGACCCTCTCCTTTGCAGCTGGGCAAGATGCGCCTGATCGTCCCCTGCCGGGCCTTCACCTGCACCCACCTGCAGTGCTTCGACGCGGCCCTTTACCTGCAGATGAACGAGAAGAAGCCCACCTGGACCTGCCCCGTCTGCGACAAGAAGGCGCCCTACGAGACCCTCATCATCGACGGGTATTTATTTGTCGTGTCAGGACAACCAGTCAAATTATATTACATTTCTAACAGAACAAAGCAAGCAAACAAAATACAAAATTTGTGAGTTTGGTGGTTGACTAAATGTCCTTTGACCAGCATCTGTCCCCTTGGAGTGCCTCTGGTGTTGCCGCAAGAAGGTCCTCCCTTGTGCATCATGTGGCAGGGCTCAGGTGGCATTGCAGCAGGTGGTCAGTGGTTTGCTCTTCTCCTCACTCGCATGTCGTGGACTTCACTTTGTGGCCCCATTTCTCAAGGTTGGCTCTGCATCTCGTGGTGCCAGAGCGCAGTCTGTTCAGCGCCTTCCAAGTCGCCCAGTTTTCTGTGTGCCCAGGGGGGAGTCTCTCATTTGGTATCAGTGGGTTTGAGCCTGCCACTTTTGGACTCTCGCTTGCTGAGGTGTTCCACTTGGAGTGCCTCTGGTGTTGCCGCAAGGAGGTCCTCCCTGGTGCATCATGTGGCAGGGCTCAGGTTGCATTGCAGCAGGTGGTCAGTGGTTGGCTCTTCTCCACACTCGCATGTCGTGGATTCCACTTTGTGGCCCCATTTCTTGAGGTTGGCTCTGCATCTCGTGGTGCCCGAGCGCAGTCTGTTCAGCACCTTCCAAGTCGCCCCGTCTTCTGTGTGCCCAGGGGGGAGTTTCTAATTTTGGTATCACTTCTGGGTTTCAGCCTGCCACTTTTGGACTCTGGCTTGCTGGGGTGTTCCAGCGAGTGTCTCTGTAGATCTAAGAAAACTATGTCTTGATTTCAGTCGTTGACGTGCTGGCTGATACCCAAACAGGGGATGGGATGGAGATGTCTCTGCCTTGGTCCTTTCACTATTGGCTGCCACTTCCCGGCGGATGTCAGGTGGTGCAATACCAGCTAAGCAGTGTCATGTCTCCAGTGGTGTAGGGCGCAGACACTCCATATCTCATGAAGAGCCACATCCACTGTTTGAGTGTGGTGAGATGTGTTCCACACTGGGCACGCATACTCAGCAGCAGAGTAGCACAGCGCAAGGGCAGATGTCTTCACTGTATCTGGTTGTGATCCCCAGGTTGTGCCAGTCAGCTTTCGTATGATATTGTTTCTAGCGCCCACTTTTTGCTTGATGTTCAGGCAGTGCTTCTTGTAGGTCAGAGCATGGTCCAGAGTGACTCCCAGGTATTTGGGTGCGCTGCAATGCTCCAGTGGGATTCCTTCCCACGTCATCCTCAGAACTCAGGATGCTTCTCTGTTCTTGAGATGAAAAGCACATGTCTGTGTTTGAGATGGATTAGGGATCAGCTGGTTTTCCCTGTCATAGGCAGTAAGAGCACCTAGAGCTTTGGAAAGCTTCTGTTCTACCGTCTCAAAGCTCCCTGCTTGAGTGGTGATGGCACGATCATCAGCATAGATGAAACTCTCTGTCCCTTCTGGCAGTGGCTGGTCATTTGTGTCGATGTTGATCGACGGGTGAGGGGTTGGCTCAGAAGGGGTGCGGCGTCTCGTTATTGTTCCCGACCTGGGTCTGTTCGGACCCTTTGGTCGTTTGACTGTTGTCCCCCCCGAACCCGCAGCTTGTTCATGGAGATCCTGAACTCGGTCACGGACTGCGACGAGATCCAGTTCATGGAGGACGGCTCCTGGTGCCCCATGAAGCCCAAGAAGGAGAACCAGGAGCTCTGCCAGCCCTCCGCCTACAACGGGGTGGAAGGTAGGACGTCAACGCCTTTCCGGGAGGTTACGAAATAAATCCCAGAATCCTGAGCTACGTCACTCTCCTATCCAAAATCCCCAATCTGCAGGATCTTGGTCATTTGACCTCAGGGAATGAGACAATCACAGGCTGACCCACAACTCTTTCCCATCCTTCCCAGCGTCCCTGTACGCCGTGGGTTTGGAGGGGAAGGCGCTGGGCGAGAGCAAGAAGAAAGTGGAGGTCATCGACCTGACGCTGGACAGCTCCTCGGACGACGACGAGGAGGAGCCCCCCGCCAAGAAGCAGGGCCCCCTCACTACGGCCGCCGTCCCCTCTGCTCCGGGGACCAAGGGGTAAGGACGGGACGGGGGTCGAATCCTGGGCACGTCACATTCTCTCCGCTTCACGGGACAGCAAGGAAACCCCTCAAGTTAAAAAAAAACTCACTCCCATTGGATCAACCGTTCCATGACATTAAAAAAAAATCTAATATTATTATTATTTGGTTATGCAGATAAATTACGAATTTTTTTTTACATATATTAGTACTCTCTATTCCATATTACATCAAATCAAAGCTTTGTTCCGGTCCCACTAACCTTACCTCCCTCTTTCTCTCCTTCTTTCCTTCTTTCCTTCCTTCCTTCCCTTTCCTTCTTTCCTTCTCTACCTCTTTCCTTCCTTCCTTTTTCTTCCTTCCTTCTTTCCCTCTTTCCTTCCTTCCCCCTTTTTCTTTTCCTTCCTCCTTCTCTCCTTCCTTCCTTCCCTTTTTTTCCTTCCTTCTCTACCTCCTTCCTTCCTTCTCTTTTTCTTTTCCTTCCTCTTTCTCTCCTTCCTTCCTTCTCTACCTCCTTCCTTCCCTTTTCTTCTTTCCTCTCCTTTCTTCCTTTTCTACCTCTTTCCTTCCTTCCCCCTTTTTCTTTTCCTTCCTCTTTCTCTCCTTTATTCCTTCTCTACCTCCTTCCTTCCCTTTTTTTTCTTTCCTTCTATACCTCTTTCCTTCCTTCCCCTTTTTCTTTTCCTTCCTCCTCTCCTTTTTTCCTTCTCTTCCTTCTCTACCTCCTTCCTTCCTTTGCTTTTTCCATCCATCCTTCCTTCTCTCTTTCCTTCCCTCCTTCTTTCCCTTCATCCTCAACTTGCTCTTTCCTTTCCTTTTATTCTTTCTTTCTCTCCTTTCCTTCCCCCTTTTTCTTTTCCTTCTCTCCTTTCTTCCTTCTCTACCTCTTTCCTTCCTTCCTTCGCTCTTTCCTTCCCTCCCTCTTTCTCTCCTTTCTTCCTTCCCTCCCTCTTTCCTTCTCTTTTCTTCTTTCCTTCTCTCCTTCCTTCCTTCCCCCTTTTTGTTTTTCCTTCTCCTTTCTCTCCTTTCTCTCCTTCTCCCTTTTTCCTTCTCTCTCTTTCCTTCCTTCGCTCTTTCCTTCCCTCCCTCTTTCTCTCCTTTCTTTCTCCCCTTCCTTCCCTCTCTTTTCCTTCCCTTATTTTCTGTATCCTCATTTACCTTTTTGTCATTTTAGCTTTTGGGGGGTTTTAAGTCCTTTCCACTGTTTTTTATATATAGTTATGCAGACAAATTATAATAATTTCCATTTTTCAAGTATTCAAACATTCCTGTATGACGTATACATTTCTGTTGAGTCGAGCCTTCCTCTCGTTTACCTTTCTATCCTTATCTACTCCTAATTCATATCCATTTTCCCCTTTCCCTCTTCCTCCCGGAAACAGTTATTCCTCTGCTCCTTATATTATTTTCTTTGTTCAATCATTAATATTGTTTGATTTAATTCTTTATATCCTTTGGCCCTCCTTGGTGACGCCCCTCCCATTTCCTCCCTTCCCAGGGTCCTTAGTGGCGAAGCTCCACCCCCTTCCGTCCTGCGCAGCCCCCCGATGACCAACGTGGGCGGCGACTTCCTGTCCAGCCTGCCCCTCCCGGACTACCACCCCTCCTACCAGGTGCCCTCCGACATCCAAGGTAAGGCGGGTCTCCTGTCACCAACAGGAAGGTGTCAGGTAGAGAAAGGCTGCATTAGAGAGGAATGCATTGGGAAAATACCATTCTAATCGACATGTGTTCCCAGCTCAGTCCACGGAAGGGTTAAGAAAAGTAGGGATGAAATCTCAGCTAACTGTCACCAAGACTCTGTAGCATTTCCTCTTTGCCATGTGGCCAGAGCTCAAGTGGGCATATTTAAGGGCAGAGGCTGGGATAGGAAATCTCTGCAAACTGTGACCAAGACTCTGCAGCGTCTCCTCTTTGCCATGTGGCCAGAGCTCAAGACGGCTTATTCCAGGTCAGAGGCTGGGATAGGAAATCTCTGCAAACTCTGACCAAGACTCTGCAGTGTTTCCAATGTGGCCAGAGATCAAGTGGGCATATTTAAGGGCAGAGGCTGGGATAGGAAATCTCTGCAAACTCTGACCAAGACTCTGCAGTGTGCTTACTCTCTGCCAACTGCAGACCTGTAAATACTTGTATGTAGCAACGGCTGAAGAATCAACCTCCAAAGGAGTTTGTGTGGAAGCCAGAGCTCAAGTGGGCTTATTCCAGGTCAGAGGCTGGGAGATGAAATCTCTGCAAACTCTGACCAAGACTCTGCAGCGTTTCCTCTTTGCCATGTGGCCAGAGCTTATTCAAAGTCAGAGGCTGGGATAGGAAATCTCTGCTGACCAAGACTCTGCAGGGTTTCCTCTTTGCCATGCGGTCAGAGCTCAAGTGTCCTTATTCCAGGTCAGAGGGTGGGATATGAAATCTCTGTCCAACTGTGACCAAGACTCTGCAGTGTGCTTACTCTCTGCCAACTGCAGACCTGTAAATACTTGTATGTAGCAACGGCTGAAGAATCAACCTCCAAAGGAGTTTGGGTGGAAGCCAGAGCTCAAGTGGGCTTATTCCAGGTCAGAGGGTGGGAGATGAAATCTCTGCAAACTGTGACCAAGACTCTGCAGCATTTCCTCTTTGCCATGTGGTCGAGCTCAAGTGGGTTTATTCCAGGTCAGAGGCTGGGATAGGAAATCTCTGCTGACTGTAACCAAGACTCTGCAGTGTTTCCTCTTTGCCATGTGGCCAGAGATCAAGACGGCTTATTCCAGGTCAGAAGGTGGGATATGAAATCTCTGCTAACTCTGACCAAGACTCTGCAATGGGCTTGTTCTCTGCCAAATGCAGACCTGGAAATAGTTGTATGTAGCAACAGCTGAAGAATCAACCTCTGAAGGATTTTAGATGGAAGCCAGGGCTCAAGTGTCCTTATTCCAGGTTAGAGGGTGGGAGATGAAATCTCTGCAAACTCTGACCAAGACTCTGCAGCGTTTTATTATTTTCCCCCTTCTTTTTTCCAGGTTTGGATTTGTTCCCATTCCTTCAAAGCGAAAACCAGGTACGTCTCCTTCCTGGACATCCTTATAATTTCATACCAATTTAATAATTTAACACTAATACTGTGCTGTGCTAATAATATAATACCTTTTATACAATATAATATTGATAATATTATAATGTAATAACAATATAAGACTTTTATATTTCATATTAAATGCAGTATTACTAATTATATTGCAGTTTAGTGATAATAATATTACAGTATAATGGTATAGTACAACATAGTAATATATAATACTAATATTCTGCTACACTAATAATATAATATATTGTATACAAATATTATATTGATAATATTGTAATGTAATATAACAATAATTGTATATCTCATATTACATGTAATATTACTAATAATATTGCAGTATAATGGTATAGTACAACTTAGTAATATTTTTAATACTAATATTCTGCTAGGCTAATAATATAATATATTGTATACATTGATAATATTATAATATAATACAATACTAAAATTGTGCTATGCTAATAATATAATATATTGTATACAAACATAATATTGATATTACAATATAATAATTGTATATCTCATATTACATGTAATATTACTAATAATATTGCAGTATAGTGGTATAGTATAACATAGTAATATATAATACTAATATTGTGCTACGCTAATAATATAATATATTGTGCACACATATAATATTGATAATATCATAATATAATACAATAAAATAATTGTATATCTCATATTAATATTGCAGTATAGTGGTATAGTACAACATAGTAATATATAATATTAATATTGTGCTATGCTAATAATATAATATAATGTATGTACATATAACTTGTAAGCCACACTATTCTAGTGGCCATCCAGCCTTTGCAATAATAATAATAATAATAATAATAATAATAATAATAATAATAATACAACAACAACAATAGCAAAGCACCCCCCAACAGATGGCCACCCGGCCTTTTTATAATAATAGTAATATTATATCTTAAATATAATGTAATGAATTTATATACGTTAAATATATATATAAATATAATAATTTTATAATATTTATTTAGCCTTTTTATAATAATAGTAGTAAAGTATTATAAATATAATATAATAAATTTTATACATTATATATATAAAATATAATAAATTTATATTTATTTAGCCTTTTTATAATAATAGTAATGTATTATAGAATATAATAAATTTATATACATTAAATATATATAAATATAATATAATAAATGTATAATATTTATTTAGCCTTTTTATAACAATAGTAGTATTGTATTATAAATATAATATAAATTTATATACATTAAATATAAATAAATATAATATTTATTTAGACTTTTTTAATAGTAGTATTGTATTATAAATATAATAAATTTATAATATTTATTTAGCCTTTTTATAATAATAGTAGTAATGTATTATAAATATAATAAATTTATATTTATTTAGCCTTTTTATAATAATAGTAGTATTATATTATAAATATATTATAATAAATTTATATACATTAAATATATATAAATATAATATAATAAATTTATAATATTTCTTTAGCCTTTTTATAATAGTATTATATTATAAATATATTATAATAAATTTATATACATTAAATATATATAAATATAATATAATAAATTTATAATATTTCTTTAGCCTTTTTATAGTAGTATTAGATTATAAATATATTATAATAAATTTATATACATTAAATATATATAAATATAATATAATTTAGCCTTTTAATAGTAGTATTGTATTATAAATATAATAAATTTATAATATTTATTTAGCCTTTTTATAATAATAGTAGTAATGTATTATAAATATAATAAATTTATATTTATTTAGCCTTTTTATAATAATAATAATAGTATTGTATTATAAATATAATAAATTTATATACATTAAATATATATAAATAGAATAAGTTTATAATATTTATTTAGCCTTTTTATAATAATAGTAGTATTAAATTATAAATATACTATAATAAATGTATATACATTAAATATATATAAATACAATATAATAAATGTATAATATTTATTTATAAATATAATATAATAGTAGTAGTAGTAATAGAGGCTCCGTGGAGCACCCTTTGAGAGCCGCCGTTGTGCCTAACGGAGCCTTGTGTTGGGGTCCGTCTCGCTCACGTTCTCGCTCTGTCTCTTTCCAGCCGCACTACAGCCCTTCAGTGATCACTTCCCTGGACGACCAGGACAGCCTGAGCCACTTTTTCCAGTACCGTGGGGCCTCCCCGCACTTCATGGGCCCGCTGGCCCCCGTAGTGGTCAGTTCCCACGCGGCTCCGGCCAACGGGCGCCTGACCAGCATGGTCTCCTCCTCCTCCTCGCCCTCGGCCGCCCACCGGCCCCACAGCCCCCCCACCTTGACCGCCTGCCGGCCGGACATCATCTCCCTGGACTGAATGGACATCGGCGGGGTCATCGGATGCATCGCCTCGCAGCTCGTTCCCCGTTCGGCTTTGGAGATCTGTCTTATCGCGTCAGATTGGAACTTCGTCTTGGATTCGTTCGATTTCGTTCCGAATTTTTTCTGCTCTGTGGATTAATTCGTCTTGGTTTTTTCTCGCGTGATTTGTGGCGTAACATCAAACAAAGACCTCAAAAAACCACAGAAATACGGCTTTGCTCTTGGCTTTCCGGATTAATTCGATTCGTCCAGGACGTGGAAGTTTTCCGTCTATTTGAATTTTTTCTCTCTGCTAACTGTGACCAAGACTCTGCATTTTTCCCCCCGGCGTAACGTCCAGTGAATTCCACCGAATTTTTTTTTCGTTTTAAGATTCATTTGTTGCTTTTGGAGAAATATCAACTGAATTACCCCCCCCAAAAAACACTGAAATATGGTTTTGGTTTTGGACGTTTGCTTTATGGATTAATTCGATTTCATCCAGGATGTGGGAATATTTGGATTTTTTCACCAAAAAGACGTTTTGTACTTGGATTATCCATCTAATTTTAAGATTCATGGGATGCTATTTTTCTGGGGAAAAATCAAAACAATTACCCCCAAAAACACCTTTCCCAAAGGCGCTCTGAAATACGGTTTTGGGCTTCCCTTTGCTCTAATAATGATATTAATTATGAATAATATTATTAATATTCTTAAATATCAATATCAAGCAATATTAATGATTAATATTAATATTACTATTTAATATTATTTATTATTTTTCATTAAAAGCAGTCGACCATTACTATTAATTATTAATATCAATTAATATTTATTTATATTAATAATTAATATTGCTATTTAATATTATTTATTATTATGCATTGAAAGGAGTTGACCCTGTGATTATTGTTACAAGTCTCAATATTAATATTAATTATTAATATCATCAATATTTATATAAATAACTAATATTTATTATTATGCATTGAAAGGAGTCGATCCTGTGATTATTGTTACAGGTATCAATATTGTTAATATTAATTATTTATATAAATAAATATTGATGATAATTAATATTAACAATATTAAATAGTAATATTAATTATCAATATAAATAAATATTGATATTAATGGTTAATAATATTGATATTAATGGTTAATAATAATTAATATTATTATTATCATCAATATTTATTTGTATTAATAATTAATATTACTATTTATTATGCATTAAAAGGAGTCGACCCTGTGATTATTGTTACAAATATCAATATTATTAATATTAGTATTAATTATTATCATCAATTAATATTTATTTATATTAATAATTAATATTACTATTTAATCTTATTTATTATTATGCATTAAAAGGAGTCAACCCTGTGATTATTGTTACAAAAATCAATATTATTAATATCATCAATATATTAATAATGAATATTAATATTTAATAATATTAGTATTATTCACTGAAAGGAGCCGATCCTATGATTATAAATATCAATATTATAAGAATTAATATTAAGAATTAATATTGTTATTTAATATTATTATTCTTCATTAAAAGGAGTCGACCCAGTGATTATTGTTACCAACATCAATATTATTATTAGTATTAATTATTAATATCGTCAATATATTAATAATTAATATTAATATTTAATAATTTTAGTATTATTCATTAAAAGGAGTCGACCCAGTGATTATTGTTGCCATCATCAATATTATTATTAATATTAATTATTAATATTGTCAATGTATTAATAATATTAATATTTAATAATTTTAGTATTATTCACTAAAAGGAGCCGATCTTATGATTATCGTAATAAACATCAATAACAATACCAATATTTATTATTAATATCATTGATTAATGTTGATTAATATTAATATTTAATAATATTACTTATTAATATTATTCATTAAATGGAGCCAACCCTATGATAATTGTTTTCTCCTGGATATGAACTTGGCTTCAGTCTTGGCCAACATGGGATTTTTTTAAAGCGTGGAGTCTGCACCTATATATATGTATATGTATATGTATATATATATATCTTTGCTCATCTAAGGACAATTGCGTTGGACTGAGTTCAAAAAGATGCCGGTCTAAGAAGGAGAAATATACCAGAATGAAGATTGCAACAGCTATCAATGGTGAGTAGAAATATTATTATTGTTATTATTATTATTATTATTATTATTATTATTATTATTTAATTGTTAATAATCTTTATTTTAGTTAATTATTATTATTCTTCTTTATTAATAGTTAATAATGTTTATTTTAGTTTATTAATAGCTGGTTTGATTCTACTTTGTGGAAAGAAGCAGGATATAAATAATAATAATAATAATAATTATAATAATAATAATATTCTTTATTAATAGTTAATGTTTATTTTAGTTTATTAATAGCTGGTTTCATTCTACTTTGTGGAAAGAAGCCGGATATAAATAATAATAATAATAATAATAATAATAATAATAATAATAATAATATTCTTTATTAATAGTTAATGTTTATTTTAGTTTATTAATAGCTGGTTTGATTCTACTTTGTGGAAAGAAGCAGGATATAAATAATAATAACAATACCAATAATAATAATGCATTCTAATACTAATAATAGACACATAGCTGGTTTGAGTCTACTTTGTGACAAGAAGAAGCAGGCTATAAATATAATAATTATAATAATAATAATATAATAATAATGCATTCTAATACTAATAATAGACGCATAGCTGGTTTGAGTCTACTTTGTGGAAAGAAGAAGCAGGCTATAAATATAATAATTATAATATTAATGCATTATAATATTAATAATAGACACATGGCCCCTTTGAGTCCCCTTGTGGAGAGAAAACAGGGTAGTAATAATAATAATAATAATAGATGCTAAGCTGTTTTGCGTCTCCTTTGTGGGGAGAAAAAGTGGGAGTATTGACATTAATAGTAATAATAATAATAGATGCAAAGCTGCTTGAGTCTCCTTGTGGAGAGAAAACAGGATGATGATAATAATAATAATAATAATAATAATAACAACAACAATAACAATAATAACAGATGCAAAGCTGTTTTGTGTCTCCTTTGTGGGGAGAAAAAGTGGGAGTATTAACAATAATAGTAATAATAATAATAATAATAATAATAATAATAATAATAATAATAGATGCAAAGCTGCTTGAGTCTCCTTGTGGAGAGAAAACAGGATAATAATAATAATAATAATAATAATAATAATAATAATAATAATAATAATAGATGCAAAGCTGTTTTGAGTCTCCTTTGTGTGGAGAATAATAATAATAATAATAATAATAATAGATGCAAAGCTGTTTTGAGTCTGGGGAGGAAAAGTGGGAGTATTATTATTATTAGATGCAAAGCTGTTTTGAGTCTCCTTGTGGAGGGAAAACGGTAGTAAAATAATAATAATAATAATAATAATAATATAATAATAATAGATGCTAAGCTGTTTTGAGTTGCCTTTGTGGGGAGAAAAGCGGGAATAATAATAATAATAATAATAATTCCTCCTTCCACAGCCATCCTTTTGGCCTTCTAACCAATGGAGCTTTCCAGGAAGTGGTTGAGAAGAAAGAAAATAAGGAACACACCGCAAAATTGCGAAAACGGATGGGGACGTCTCGAGATTTGAGTATTACGACAGTATTTTATATTTTGCAAGAAGCAACTCCTCGTATTTCCCCGCTTCCCTCTTTATCGCTCTTCTTGTACAGAGAACAAAAAGATCTATATTATATTATATATATATTAATATTATATGATCATAATCTATATTTTCGGGGGGTTTTGTACATAAGCGACTCCAAAGATCCCTTTTGTGTTGCTGTTGTCATTTTCTTTTGAGGACTCGAGGAAGGTTGCGCTCGTGGCGACGATTCCGACGTCCTTTGCACAATTTATTTATGGTATTTAAACGTGTATAATTTTGTGTATTTGTGTTTATTTTGTTGTAACGGCGGCTTCTTCTTTCTCGACCTTGCTCTCATTTCTTATTTATTCCATCTGTCCAAAGCTTTGGTGTATTTTTTAGAGGAAAATAAAGGGGTTTTCACGGACCGCCTTTCAATTATTTATTCGATTTTATTTGGCCGGATCAAGTCCATTGACCTTCGTTCCTTTACCAAAAAAAAAGGACTTTACGCAACTGTGAAAATACTTTTTTTTTCTTTTTTGGGAAAATAATATTTAATTGGTTTTGTTATTGGCGCGTGAATGGGAAAAGCAAAATGCGAAATATTTTACAAGGGAATAATATAAAGTTGGAATTATATATATATATATATATATATATATATATATATATATATATATAAAATAGATGCAAAGCTGTTTTGAGTCTCCTTTGTGAGGAGAAAATAATAATAATAATAATAATAATAATAATAATAATAATAATAATTTTATATATTATTTTTTATAAGGGAATAATATAAAGTTGGAATAATATTCTCTCTATATATATTATTCCAACTTTATATTATTCCCTTATAAAATACTTAATTATTATATATTTTTATATAATATATTATTATATATTATTATATAATAATATAAATTAATATATAATAATGATATAATAATATATTATCATATATTAATATAATAATATTATTATATATATTATTATATAATAATATTATAATAATATCATTCCCTTATAAAATACTTAATTATTATATATTGTTATACAATATATTATTATATATTATTATATAGTAATATAAATTAATATATAATGATATAATAATATATTATCATATATTAATATAATATAATTATATAATATATATCATTATATAATTATATTATAATAATATATATTATTATATAATACTATATGTTATCATTATATAATAATATATAATAAACAAAAGTTAAGAATGAGATTAAGAGTGGGAATATGAATAAGAGTAAGGCTAAGGTATATTATAATAATGATATAATAATATATTATCATAAATTAATATAATATAATATATTATTATTATATAATATATATTATTATATAATTGTATTATAATAATATAATATATATTAATACAATAATATAATATTATTATATAATATATAATATATTATTATATATAATGATATATATATTATTATATAATAATATATAATAATACTATATATTATCATTATATAATAATATATAATAAACAATAGGTAAGAATGAGGTTAAGAGTGGGAATATGGATAAGAGTAAGGCTAAGGTTATGGGTAAGAGTGGGAATATGGGTAAGAAGGAGAGTGAGGCTACGAATATGGGTAAGGATAAGGGTAAGAACATAGAGAAGAGTAAGGGTCAGCCATGGAATATAGGTAAGAGGGGAATGGAAAGAAGGGGTAAGAATAAGGTTAAGAATGTAATTGAGAGTAAGGGTCAGCCGTGGAATTCGGGTAAGAGGGAAACGCTAAGAATATGGGTAAGAATAAGTTAAGAATATCATTGAGAGTTAGGGTAAGCTGTGGAATTTGTGTCAGACAGCGGTTCTCAACCTGGGGGTCTCAACCCCCAGAGGGGTCGTGTGGACATTTCAGAGGGGTCATGACGTTGCCTTTTTTGGCCCCGCCCCCTCTTACTGGCATAGCTGCTAAGAATATGGGCAAGAATAAGGTTCAGAATATAATTAAGAGTAAGGGTCAGCAGTGTCATATGGGTAAGAATAAGGCTTAGAATATCACTAAGAGTAAGCGTCAGCCGTGGAATATGGGTAAGAGGGGAATACTAAGAATAAGATTAAGAATATTGGTGAGAGTAAGGGTCAGCAGTGCCATATGGGTAAGAATAAGGCTAAGAATATCATTGAGAGTAAGGGATATGGGTAAGAGTAAGGTGATTCCCCGTCCGCCATGTCCAGTGTTGTCTTCCCAAGCAAGGCCTTTGGCCGTCCACCGGCTCATCCTTCTGCTCGCATCGTCTGGAGCCATCTCCACAGGGCGAACCGTGTCCCGGCACTGACCCCTTTGCTGTTGCTGCCGTCGTGGTCGAAGAACGTGGCCGTTGGGATCGGGACTCTCCTAGTCGAGCCGTTGTCCACTTCGGTGACGCTGCTCCAGAGAGAAAGGAAGGAAAGAAGAGGAGGACATCAGATGATTTGTCTGTCTCATTCTCTTTGCTTTCCTACTTGACAGATGCAACTGTCTTTTGGGCTGCGTAGGTCAACAGCCAGCTAGACTAAGGGCCAGAAGCTCACTCCGACTTGGGCTGGCTTCGAACTCATGACCTCTTGGTCAGTGGGGATTTAATGCATCTGGCTATCCGCTAGCTGCATCACAGCCCGGTTCTTGTTGGTTCTCGTTGCCGTTTTTGTTTCAATGTTTTCAATACCTGACGGTCGGCGGGAGGGTGGTCCCTTCGTGGTCGCCAATTCCTGTGCCGGCGATTGCTGCTGCGACGGGCACATCGAGCCACGCATAAGCACTCACTTCGCCTTCGTTGGGCTTCAGCCTCGCCTGGAATATTGTGATATTATTATTTTATATTATTGCTACTATATTATTACTGGATCAATCATCAAAATCATTATCTATTAATTTATATTATCGCTATTACCTTATTATTATATCAAACATCACAATAATAATTATTTTTATATTACTGCTATTATTATTTGATATTATTGCTATTACATTATTATATCAATCATTGCAATCATTATTATCATTACTATTCTCATCTATTATATATCTACTAGCGGTCCCCTGCCACGCGTTGCTGTGGCCCAGTCTGGTGATATGGAAAATAAAGTAATTAGAAAGTGCTGTAATGTCTTTATACTTGTGGGTAAACAGTATTTCTTGATGTTTCTTTGACAGTGTTGATGTAGAGATAGTCTGGTTTGCCTACTCTGGAACATGCAACATATCATTGTCCATCTTTAGGAGTCCCTTTCAAATCTATAATCATGTATCTGTGTGTGTGCGAATCATATATATCTATATCTATTAGGCTTGGGCGGTTTCGTTCGTCAATTTCGTAATTTGTTATTAATTCGTATTTAAATTAGCTTACGATCCGATATTGAGCCATTTTGGAATAGTGTGAGGAGCAATTAAGAATCGAAACAATTTTTCCAATTTTCGTAATTATTTCGTAATTATTTTTGTAATATATAATATATAATATATAATACAATATATATAATATTTTAATATTATAATAATATAATATAATATATAATAATATAATATACAATAATATAATATAATAATATATAATATATATAATATAATAATATATAATATATATTACAATAATATAATATACAATAATATAATATAATAATATAATAATATAATATATAATAATATATATATAATATAACATGATATAATATGATATAATATGATATAATAATATATAATATAATAATAATATAATAATATAATATAATAATAATATAATATAGTTGTTTGTTTTATCACACCAAGAGTCAACAACAGAGGGAGAGGGAAGCTTCAGAAGTTCCCCCTCTCCCATTTGGAGGTTTTTTTATTGCGCAATCACGTCCGCCATTAACGAATCGATTCGTAATTTATGAAATTTCGTAAATTTCTAACTTTTTTTTTAAAAAAATCGGAATTCTTTTAAAAAACGAAACGCAATGGACTCCCTTAAAAACGAAACGAGTTTAGAAACAAATTTTTCCGTTGTTACCCAAGCCTAATATCTATGGCTGGATGGCTCTCTGTCAGGAGGGTTTTGATTACGTTTTCTTGCCCTGGTGAAGGGACAACCTCCAGAAACATAGACTCAAGGGAAAGCTGCATACCAAAACATACATAGACCATACAGTAAGCAAACAGAATCATATACAAAACGAATTACTCGTGGAGGCTGGAAGAAGGTTGCTATTAGTAAACATTATTATTGTGGCGGCTTCCTTGGTGGTGGGAGAGTGTCCGGAAATAGCCGAGTCCAGCCGGATCTGCCGCCACCACGGAAGTGCCTCCGGGGCGGCTGGGAAATGGAGTTCCAGCGTTGGGAAACGTTTGGGCCTATTTCCGCTGTGGGCCAGGGAGAGAGTACTGATTTGGGATGGAGATGTGTTCATGATCCTACCTCTAATTGGCCGTGGCTCTTGTACGAACGCAAAAGGAGGTAGGCCACAACGTGATGGTGGGTCGGCCATCCAAGGCTCAGCAATGGCGGATACACAGACTGGACGGGAAATTATATTATATTATAAATTATAACAATATAAAATAATACATTATAATGCAGAATTCTCTGCGATATTATTTATATATTATATCATTTGGAATAATTATGACAATACAAAATGATACATTATAACGTCTACTTTACTGTGATATTATTTATATTATTTATAAATTATATTATTATTATATATAATAATATATAATAATATAATAATATTATATAATAATATTATATAATTATATAATTATATATAATAATATATTATTTATTATTATATATAATAATATATAATATATAATTATAATTATATATTATATATAATATATAATTATATATAATATAATTTATATATAATTTATATAATATAAAATATATATTATTTATTTATATTTATGGTTGAATAATCATAACAGTAGGAATAATACATCATTAAGTATACTATACTTAATAGTGATATTAACTACATTAGAATAATTATAATATAATATAATGTATAATATATTGTGATATAATATAAATAATACACTAGAACTAACGTCTACTTTATTGTGATATTATTTATATTATTTATAAATTATATTATTTATATTATTTATTTATATTTATGGTGGAATAATCATAACAGTAGGAATAATACATCATTAAGTATACTATATTGTGATATTAACTACATTAGAATAATTATGACTTATAATATAATATAATGTATAATATATTGTAATATAATATAAATAATACACTGTAATGTAGGATACATTGTGAAAATATGTTATTTATATATATTATTTATACTAAAATAATTAGAGCAATATAATAGATGATAAGGCATAATGTATTGTGATATTATTGATATTTCATTGTTTATATTAGAAAAATTAGAACAATATAAATAATGCTAGAATAATTATAACTAATATAATGTTTAATATATTGTGATATAATATAAATAATACACTGTAACGTAGAATATATTGTGAAAATATGTTATTTATATATATTATTGGTACTAAAATAATTAGAACAATATAATATATGATAATGCATAATGTATTGTGATATTGATATTCTAATGTTTACATTAGAAAAAATTAGAACAATATAAATAATGCATGATAATGTATACTATATTGTGTAATTATTAAATAATATATAAGCAATATAAGTAATTTCACAATATATTATAAATATTACTGCATAATAAAAATTAAATAAATTTATATTATGTAATAATAGCAATGTAATACATTATAACGTATAATTGTGATATTATTTATGCATTGTATTAAAATAATTAGAACAACATAAACGATACATTGCAACGTACAATATATTGCGATATTATTTATATTAGAATAATTAGAACAATTAAATAATACAAGATAATGTATATTGTGAAATTATTTATATTATTTATATATTGTGTAATTTATATTTTATTAGAATAATAGCAATATGATACATTATAATGTATAATTGTGATATTATTTATATATTTTATTACAATAATTAAAAATATAAATATAAGTAATACATTATAATACATTATACAATATAAATATTGTATTATTATTTATATTAATACAATATAAATAATAATACAATATTATTTATAAAGTATGATAATGTATTGTGAAATTATTTACATTAATTACATATTATGTAATTTATATATTAGAATAATAGCAATATAATACATTATAATATATAATTGTGATATTATTTATATATTAGAATAATTAGAACAATATAAACAATACATTGTAACATAATATATTGCGATATTATATTAGAATAGAACTATATAAATTATAATGTATATTGTGATAGCATTTATATTAGAATAATTAGAACAATATAAATAATACAAGATAATGTATAATATATTGTGACATTATTAATATTATTTATATATGATATATATATTATATTATAATATATATATTATTATATTATAATAATAGCAATATATATTATTTAATTTATACTATATTATAATAGCAACATAATACAACGTATAATTGTGATATTATTTATATATTATATTAGAATAATTAGAACTCTATAAATGATACATTGTAACATATAATATATTGTATTATTATTTATATTAGAATTAGAACAATATAATATGTAATATATTATTTATAGTTGTATAATGAGAATATAAATAATAAAATTTATCCTGTGATATTCATATTATAATAATTATAATGTATATTGTGATAATTAGAACAATACAAAGAATATAATGTAGTGATAGTATTTATATTACAATAATTATAACATCATGTATAATATTGCAATATTATTTATATTGGAATAATTGCGATATAATACATTCTAACGTAGAATATATTGTGATGTTATTCATATTAGAATAATTAGAACAATAATAATAATAATAATACTTTGATTTGCCTCCCTTACCTCCCAAAGTCCCAGCATGCTCCAGGAGAACTCTCCTTCACTCAGCTTCAAGCCAGTTTCCTCTTGCAATTCTCTCAGCCCTGCGTCCAGCAACTAGGGAAAGGAAGCAGAAGTTCGGAGCAGAATCCGGACCGTTTCCAGAACACACCAGGGTCTTGGGAGCCATTGCAAGAGGTCGCAAAACACCTATTTACCTGCTCATTTGGTTCAATGTGGCCACCTGGAAAAAGGGAAAAGAGACATCTCTTGCAAATCAATTATTATTACCATCGTTATATTATATTATTATTTTATTTTTATCAATATCATCACCATATTATTTTATGTAATTTTATTATTATTTTATTTTTATCAATATCACCATATATTATTTTATTTTTATTATTATATATTATTTTATTTTTATTATGATATATTTTGTCAATATTATCATCATATATTATTTTATTTTCATTATTATCATATATTAATTTTATTATATATTATCACCATATAATTTTATTTTATTATATTATTATTTTTATCAATATATTTTATTTTTATTATTATATATTATTATTTTATTTTTTATTATCACATTATTTTATTTTTATTATCATATATATTATCACCATATAACTTTATTTTATTATTATTATTATCAATATCATCATATATTATTTTATTTTTATTATTATATATTATTATTTTATTTTTATTATATATTATCAATATTTTCACATTATTTTATTTTATTATATTATTTTATTTTATCTATCATATATTATTTTATTTTTATTATTATCATATATTATTTCATTTTTATTATAGATTACCAATATTATCACCATATAATTTTATTTTATTATATTATATTATTTTTATCAATATATTTTATTTTTATTATCATATATTTTATTTTATCAATATTATCATATATTATTTTATTTTTATTATCATATATTATATATTATCACCATATAACTTTATTTTATTTTATAATTATTATTATCAATATATATTATTTTATTTTTATTATATATTATTTTATTTTTATTATTATATATTATTATTTCATTTTTATTATCATATATGATCAATATTATCACCGTATAATTTTATTTTATTATATTATTATTTTTATCAATATCATATTTTATTTTTATTATCATATATTTTATTTTATCAATATTATATATTATTTTATCATATTTTATTTTTATCATTATCACATATTATTTTGTTTTTATCATATATTATTATTTTATTATCGCATATTATTTAATATTTTTATCA